CCTAGCAGTTGCAGCCCACATTACACACAACGGGCGAGCATAGCAGGAAGGCTGATTCCAGTTTCAAGCTTTCAGAAGTCACTTCTCCAGTAGATAAAGATATCTGCCAGATGATTGAGACCCAGGTAGGGGAGGCCCAAGCCCATTCACAAGGAATTTTATCTATTCCAAAGTTCCTTATCCAAAGGGTTTCGTGCCACATTCTTTCAAAGTTTTTAGCGGTTTAAAAAACCCGAGACAACATCTAGCCCATTTCCGAGTAAGCTGTTGCAATGCAGGAGGGTCAGATGCTCTTCTCTTTCGCCAATTTATGAGTAGTCTGTCTGGTATTGCTTTTGAGTGGTACGCAGATCTACCCAACGGTTACGTGAAAACTTTTACAGAGCTCGAGGATCTCTTTTTAAAAAGATTCTTAGGAGCTCAATAATGTGTAATCGTTGGTGATCTCGTCATCGAAAAACAAAAATCAGACAAGTCTTTAGTCGACTACATCTTGAGGTGGTGAAACCTCTCGATGAAATATGAACCCCAACTGCAAGAGCAACATGCAGTGGAGATTCTTCTAAAGAATATCCACGGACCTATTGATTTTCTACTGAAAGGGTTTACAATTAAAACCTTCGAAAAGCTTCTTAATAAAGTTAGTAATCTACAAGAAGAGTCTTCCAAAATGCCATTCTTAAAGGATTCTACTGAAGATAAGAAAGTCAGTAAACTGTTGAAGTCTTTTGAAAATAGAAAAACAACAATTTCAGCAGTCGACAAAGGGAAGAAACCAATTAACATTCAATCGGGTAATTCTACTGTTCAACAAACTCAAAAACCTCAACCCTTTCAGGTAACTTCTCAACCTGCTAGAGAGTCTCACCAGATCACCTTTAAAGAGAGATTGACTCGCCTGTATCCTTTAAAAGGGAGTAGGTGAGAAAGATCTTTAAGTGCCTTCAAAAGAAGCTAGATTTTTTATTGTCGGAGGCCAAAAAACTAGAAGAGGCAAATAAGAATGATGATCCAACTTTTTGCCCCTACCACCTCATGTTGGGCCACACAATTGAATACTGCATAGTCTTTAAGGACTGGCTTGAGAAGAACTTCTGTCAAGGTAACATAATAATTCCAAAGGAGTACCTGGTCGATCTGGATCAGGGGTCTGTAAAATCTATTTCAGGTAAAAACTCTAATCTTTTTTTTTTATCCTTTGAAGATGGTTGGGATATAGCATTATCCCAGGCATTTAAAAAGTCGATTAATCAATCTTTTCGTCTTTCTCAACAGTTACTAACAAGAGCCCGGGGTCTGATCTGGGAGCTTTACCTGGAGGCATCGCAGGAGGATGTTGGGATGATTTCCTCTCCAGTAGTTGTAGGAACTACTATATTAAATAAAAAAGAAAAGAGTGAACCTTTTGTAGAGAGGAAATTTGTTGATGAAATATCTGTAAAAATGGTGGATGGTGGCTCAAAACCATTAGCCTCACTGATGTTATCTGACTTTTATTTTGCCCCGGTAAAGGAAAAGGGTCAAAAATTAAATAAAAAGAAATATCCTTTTGCTCAAATTTTGATGATTAATGTTGAGAATGTGATTCCAGATGACTCTCCTGTTGAAAACAACCTAGAACTAGTTGAGATCAATCAAGATGTTAAAAAACTCAGCCCTCCAGATTTGACCCCTCAAGAGAAAAATGAATCTGATGTCTTATCAGATGGTGATTCCCCAGAAAATAACTTTCAAGGGAGCCCCGTTATGATAGATTTCTCAGATTCAGATTCTCACTCAGAAAATTATAATCAATCGCCTGAGGAGAGCGTAGACCTCCCCGTAGGTTTTTCTTCCGATGAGATTGTGTTAGTGCAACTGCGCGATGGCAAGGTCTTACCCCTAGGCTTCCCCCACAGGAAAAGGGAAACCAAGTTGTTTCTACTGATCCGATTCAAGTCCCTACTCAACAATCAAATCCTCCTTCGAATCCACCGGGTCCTAATGTTAATGTTCCAAGTGTTGATTACAACGTCTTAACTCACCTTAGGAAGTTTCCTGCTAAGATGAGCAATTATGACGCCCTTGTTCTTTCAAAAGAGATGAGGGAGACTCTAATTAAAGCACTTCTCGACCCAGAGATTTGCTTATCCTAACTTGCTTCAATTTTCGAGGAAGAGGCTTTATACTTCAAGGAAATCCCATGGTTACCTTCTTCGATGAAGATCTACTCATAGGAACTGTTAATCACAATCGCCCACTTTACATCACCGTAAATATAGGCAATTTCCATCTATCAAAAGTTCTTGTTGATCCGGGTGCATTGGTCAACGTGATGAACATAAATACTCTCGTATATCTTAGGGTTGATACTAGCAAGCTCTTAACCAATAGGATGGTGCTTCGTGGGTTCAACGACAAGGGCGAGAAGGCTTTAGGTTCAATCACACTTCTTCTAGAGATAGGAGAATTAAAAACTGAAGAAAAATTTCATATAATCGATTCGGTGATGTCCTTTAATGCTCTCCTAGGTAGGCCTTGGATCCATGAATATAGGATGGTTCCTTCTACCCTACATCAATGCATCAAGTACCAACGAGATGGCATTAAGTTTGTAATTAAGGGTGATCTACAACCATTCTCTATTTACGAGATAAGGATCTATGAGGATGATGCATATTATGTTCCCAAAGGATCCACTACCAAATCTCAGGTAGAGATCAACGTTAAGGAGGAAAAGGCAGAAGCTCAAAGTTCAAAAGCAATTCAAAAATTGAGAAAAGAAAAAGTCAAGAATAAAAAAAGAGATGATTTTAATAGTGAAGACGATGTCGAGGACGTGGTTTTTAGGCCTCCAATCATTCTACCTCAAAGAGGTGGAAGGATGGCCCAAAGAGCACGAGGCCGAGGCCGCCCTTCAGTTGAGAAGAGAAATCGCCCAATATACATCGAACTTGAATCAAGTTCTGATGAAGAATCAAGAAAGAGGGGAGCTAGAATTGCTTTTGACTAAAGAAAAATTAATCCTCCTCCAAAGTTTGATCTCACACTTGATTCAGATAGCGACCAAGAGGGTAATAATTCAAAACCTCAAAGTGACGAACCCGAATTGAGTATTTATAAAAAGCTTAATAGGGCTGTTGAATCCTTAACCTTAACCCCACTGTCTTATGATAGAGTCTCAGGATTAGTAACTAAGGATGCCCCAAACTTAGATGGAGAAGTAAGGAAAGTCCAGAATTTCTTCCCTGGCTCCTTCTCTTCAAGGAACGAAGGTGATGTAATCCTTGAAGAGGCAGATTTCAATGAATTAATAGAGTTACCTTTTGTCTACTTTCCTCTTGGTGTTAAGGCTCTTATCTCTAAAGGTTTCGCTCCGAGTCAATGGACTAAGGGTTAGGCTAGATACCACCAAAATATTTGGAATTCAAAATTCAATAAAAATTGGACAAGTGGTATCAGCTTTGGTATCGTTAGTTCATTTGACGATGATAAATATTACCTGATGATAACTAGTCATCATGAATCTGAAAGTGCCCCTACTGAAGTTGTTAATTTACTCAACAGACTTTGTTTGGAGACCTTAGACAATTCTGATGAAGTTCAAATTTGGGATGCAACCCCTGAATTTGAAGAAGAAATCAAATCGAAAGTTGATGAACTTAAAGAAATTAACCTTGGATCAAAGAATTACCCTCGCCCCACTTTCATAAGTTCTTTGTTGAGTGAGGATGAGTCTAAGGATCTAATTCAACTTCTATCTGAGTTTAAGGACTGTTTTGCCTGGACATACAATGAAATACCGGGCTTGCCTGCCGATGTAGCAGTTCATAAACTCGGAATCTGGCATGATGCTATTCCTGTCAAGCAAGCTCCACGACGTATGTGTTTGGAGATTGAACAACAAGTCATTTCCGAAGTTAAGAAATTGGTCGAGGCTGGATTTATTCGAGAGGAATAATATCCTTCTTGGGTAGCCAGCCTCGTGCTAGTTCAGAAGAAAAATGGTCAAATATGGGTCTGCGTTGACTATATAGACCTGAATAATGCATGTCCTAAGGATGAATTTCCTTTGCCTATTCCAGAACTCATGGTGGATATTGCCTCTTCACACGTTGTTTTCTCCTCTATGGATGGCTCGTCAGGTTATAACCAAATCAAGATGGTCCCAGAAGATGATAGAAACACTGCATTTAGAAGTTCTATAGGGATATTTTGTTATAAAGTAATGCCATTTGGCCTTAAAAATGCCGGTGCAACGTACCAGCACTATGACTCGAATCTTTGACGACTTAATCCATAATCAAGCCGAATGCTATATCGACAATTTAGTTGTGAAGAGTAAAATTAAAGAGGCTCACCTTTATGACTTAAGAATCATCTTTGATCGGTTGCGCCATTACGACCTTAAAATGAATCCCTTGAAGTGCGCCTTCGGTGTTACTTCAGGGAAATTTCTACGTTTCGTAGTAGGGCACCACGGAATTGAAATTGATCCTGCCAAAATCGAAGCTATCTTAAATATGCTGCCACCTAGGAGCCTTACTTAATTAAGGTCTCTTCAAGGTAGACTGGCAAATATAAGAAGATTCATTTCCAATCTTTCCGAAAGATGTCAGCCATTCTCGATCCTCGCTAAAAAGGACATTTGGGATAAGAAATTTCAATCCGCTTTTAAAAATATTAAACAATACCTGACAAATCCACCAGTCTTGGCAGCCCCTATTCCGGGGAGACCTCTAATCCTTTACACTACGGCCCTTGACGAGTCTCTCGGGGCCCTCCTTGCCCAGGTCAATGATGAGGGGAAAGAGAATGCTCTCTATTACCAAAGTCAGAGACTTCTCCCAACAGAAATTTGATACCCAATGATCGAGAAACATTGTCTTGCCTTAATTTTTGCAGTACAAAAACTAAGACATTATATGCTTTCTCACCAAGTCAATTTGATTTCCAGGGTTAATCCCCTACAATATATTATGACTAGGCCTACATTATCAAGATGTTTGGCTCGTTGATCTATGATATTGCTTCAGTTTGAAATCACTTTTATTCCCCTACGTGTTGTGAAAGGGCAGGCCGTCGCCAACTTCCTTGCGGCACACCTGTTGCCGGTAGAATCTCCTTTGAATGATGATTTACCTGATGAGCAAATTATGAGTTTAAAGGAACCTAACAATCAAGTGTGGGAGATGTATTTTGATGGAGCTGCGTCCTCCCAACGGGGCAAAGTACATCAACCTACTATCCCTAGAAAAGTTGGAATTGGCCTGGTCTTCATAACACCGGATAAGGAAATGATGTACTTTTCCTACCATTTATCAGAACCTTGTACAAATAATGAGGCTGAGTACGAAGCTCTGATAACTAGCCTGGAACTTACAATTCCAATGGAGATTAAAGAGATTAAAATCTTTGGTGACTCTCAATTGGTGATCAACCAGATTGCAGGGACATATAAGGTTTTGAATCCTAAACTCCTGAAGTACCACCAGTACACCAGTCACTTGCTCGAGCAAATTCCCATCGTAACTATGTATAGGATTCCCCGTGGAAGCAATTCTTCAGCGGACACTCTTGCAAAGCTTGCAAAGGAATTTTCCTGTGTTACAAATCTATTTTCATGGCTTATGTTTTGATGATTGACAAACACTATTTCTCTTGGACTGCTTGTTGCTTCTAACTTTTCAGGAATCGAAGATCGAACGAACAGACGAAGCCAGTTCAGGATTGCATAGGAATAGGGTTGAGTCAGTCTATACTTTTGTTTTTAACTTCTTGAGTCTTCTTGTAATGGTCAAAGAGACTGATGCTAAGGAGATAGGTTCTCTGCCTTGCCGGGGTGGCAAAAAGGAGGTTCTTGTAAAGGCTTCTCCGCCTAGCTGTGGGGGCTAAAGGAGAGTCACGTTTTGTAGTGAAATACTCAGTGGGCGCCTCCGGGGAGTGGACGTAGGTCGAGTTGACCAAACCATTATAAATTTTTGTGTTCTTGTTTTCTTGCTTCCGCACTTTTCTTTAGCCCCCACAGCTAGACGGAGAAACCTTTACAACGAACCTCCTTTTTGCCACCCCAGCAAGGCAGAGAACCTATCTCCTTTTGCTTCCTCCTGAAGCTGACAGAGAACCACAACCAAAAGCTTACTCCCTACCTCTACTGACTCTTCCACGGACGAGAAACTCTAGACGAAGAACAAGCAGAGCGATTCTTGAAGCAACCCTTGCGAATCCCCTCACAAGCTCCCCCTCACAAGATCCTCTCTCTCTCCCTCTCTCTGTTTCTCTCCTCAAGGCCTTCTCAGGTCAAGGCAGCAGCCAAAGGTTTTTAAAACGTTAAAAAAGAGCTCTTAAATAGAAGAGCTTCAAAAGAGCTCATTAATTGCAAGTTGTCGACTTTATCATCTAGGCCGATATGGACATTGGCCTGGCCGATCAGTACAAATCCCAAAAGATCGGCCAGAGCATCGCCCTGGATGCACTCCTGGATGATTGAAAATTTGCTTGATCATCCAGGCCGATCTCACGATCGTCCTGGCCGATCAGTTCAAATCAGAGGAAAATCGTCCAGAGCATCGCCTTGGATACGAGCTGGCCGATATTTATCGTCCTGAAGTAACTTAAGGTTTTTGACTGGATTGTCCTGGCCGATCCTGCGATTGTCCAGGACGATATGATCGTATCAATCATCCTTAATTACTTTCTTGATTTCCTGATCAATTAAGGCATAATTTGATAATTTCGTCTAGGCCGATCAATGATCGTCTTAGTCGATAATTTAAAAATACAGTACACCTTAATTGTCTATGGCGGCAATTTCTTTCTATTTTGAGCTTATCGTCCTGGCCGATACACGTATCGTCCAAGCTGATATGTTAATGACGGCTGCCTTAATCAAGTATCTTTATTTAGACTTTCTGTTTTTAAGCCTGATCGTCCAGGACAATATAAATATCGTCCTGGCCGATATGAGTAAAAACAAAAATTCTAAGTCTCTCAAGTGTATGTGTGTAGGGCTACTTAGCATTCGTCTCTTTGACCATTACAAGAAGACTCAAGAAGTGAAAAACAAAAGTATAGACTGACTCAACCCTAATCCTATGCAATCTTGAACTAGCTTCATCTGTTTGTCTGATCTTCGATTCCTAAAAAGTTAGAAGCAACAAGCAATCCAAGAGAAATAGTGTTTGTCAATCATCAAAATATAAGCCATGAAAATATATTTGTAACAGGTTACTTAGCATCAGTCTCTATGACCATTACAAATAGACTCAAGAAGAGAAAAACAAAAGTACAGACTGACTCAACCATAAACCTACGCAATCCTGAACTAGCTTCATCCGTTCGTCTGATCTTTGATTCCTAAAAAGTTAAAAGCAACTTGCAGTCCAAGAGAATCAATAGTGTTTGTCAATCATCAAAATATAAGCCATGAAAATAGATTTGCAATAATCTCCTCCTTTTTTATGATGGCAAACACAGGTAGGAAAAACTCAGTGAAAACATCAGTTCATTAAAAATTCAAAGTTACAAACACAATAATTTTTCCTACCAGATCCTACTCCCCCTTTTGTCATCACAAAAAGAGGGTACAAAAAGAAAAAAGAAAACAACACAACAGAAACTAAAAACATACCAAAAGACAAACTATAGAAAACAAGAAAAAAATAACAGAAAACACAGACTAGAAAAACGAGGGACCCTGATCATCAGATGGAGGTGGTGGAGGTGGCTGCTGAAAGTAGCTAGCAAGCGTGGTGAACTGAGCATTGAACCAGGCGATGTCCTGGTCATACTGCTGCTAGTGGTGAGTAATGAAGCTATCAAATCGGGCTAAATCCTCAGTGCAGTGTTGTTGTAGCAGGCAATGTCCTCAGAGTGTTGCTGCTCCTGTGCAGCAACGTAGGCGTCAAAGCGGGTCTCCCAACGATCAAACCTCTCTATCAACTAATCAACCGGTGAGTGCTGGTGGAGTGGAACAGGATCAAGAACGGGAGCGGGAGCAGGATCCTCCTCCTCTCCAGCCCCTCGAGGTTCCTCATCCCTAGGGTGGAGACGAGTACTGTGAAGGGTACTGAAGGAACTGTTTGAGTAGAAGGGAGTTGGGAGGTTAGGTGGAATATGATACTGAATTTGGTATTTGGTTTCAAGGACATAGGCTATGATGTGTCCTAAGGCTAGATTGGCTTTCCTCTTATGACCTGGATCGCGGATTGTGGTTAAGTGATTAATGTATCGAAAATTTAAGTCCGCAGTATTGAATTCTCTATGAGCCATGATGTAGAAAGTAGTGAGGGAAAGTAGAGGGGTGACATGAATTCGGTCCCTGGCTTTTGGAATTATGGAGGTGCGAAGGACATGTTGGATTGTCCTAGCATCTTTGACTAAAGAGCTAGTCTCTCCAACATAAAAAGCTGCATTGGTCTGGCGAAGGAAGTGATTCACCGTGGACCAGTCAAGGTCAGGATCTGAAGCAATTAAGTGCAGCTTATCCTCGGTGGTGGATAGCTGTAAAAGATCAACACAGTCCTGATATGTGATTTCGACAGGGCGTCGATTCACATAGGAGGTTAGAGCTGTGAAAGTAGGATTAATACGAAGGTTTGCAAAGAATTCTCGAAGAAACTCGGTATTGAAGGGGAAAGTGAGAGACAGCATGAAACAAAGGGAAGTGTGAGCGAAAATATTCATTACCGGGTATGAGATATAGGCAGGATTGATAATTTGAGAGACAGTTATCCCACATTCTTTGTAACGATGATAGGCAGCTTCATCTTCTGCCTCACTGAAATGAGGGTAAATCCTAGCCCTCGAAGAGCTCCCAGAAGTTTGTCAAACACGTTTCCCACTAGTCATAGAGAGGAGTTAGCAGGAAAACACAAGAGGAGAAAGGGTGGAAAGTGCAAAACCATGGCTGGAACAGCCAAAATTTAAAGAAACAGCCATATCGTCCTGGCCGATCGCAGAATCGTCAGGGTCGATATGGCTCAATAATTGCGTACAACCCGATCGGTCAAAAAGGCAGTCCGATCGTCCAGGCCGGTCAGATATCGGCCAGGATGATTAGACACAGGCGATCGTCCCAAGGAGTCAGGCCAGACGACCATTGAAAAAGCAGATCGTCCGGACCAATTAGGTGTATCGTCCAGGACGATGCAAAATAATTGATCATACCGGCCGATGTTAAAATGTTTTAAATCTGTGCCACGTGTATCGTCCAGGACAAACAGTGGATCGGCCAGGACGATTGTCCAATAATGGATCGTTCGGGGCCAATTTTAAAGATTCAAACTTGCTGACACGTGGATCGTCCAGGATGATCAAGTGTATCGGCCAGGACGATGCACATAAAATGCATCGGCCAGACGAAATATTCTATCGGCCAGGACTATCATCATGATTGCAACAGAGTTCGATCAGATCGTCCAGGATGATATGGTATCGTCCAGGACGATGAGTTACAACAAGCACAAAAAAGATCAGCAGATGGAATTTGAAGAGATTTTGTCCTATCGTCCAGGACGATAAAAGTATCGGCCAGAACGATGTGACTAGAATTTGAAACCAAGGAAATGATGGTGATGATCAAAGCCCTCAAAAAATAAAATAAAATAAAAACAGATAAAAAACACAGTAATAGAAACCTAAAAACAACGAAAAACAAAAGACGAATATTTGTTTATTTTAATTTTTCTAATTTTTTTTATCAAGGCATCATATGAGAAGTTTTCAAAACATTAAACTTTAGAGTTCCACAAGATCAAGGAGTTTAGCCAATCCTAATCAGACAAAGGTAAAATATCCGATTCT